GACTTCAACTCCCAGAATTCCCCAGGCTGGCTGGGGAATTCTGGGAGTTGAAGTCCACTCAAAGTGGCCAAGTTGGGACAACACTGCTTGAAAGCAACTACTTCTGCTGATGAAAGGAGGTAAGAAATATCATTGCTGATATTTAGAGCTTTTAAAATTCTCCACCTAGTACAGTCTCCTGCTTTCCACATGGCCAACTGGATGTCTATCAACAGGGCATAAAACCCCATGTAACTCTATTCAGTAGCAAACTGCCTCTGAATGGGGTATTCTGTATGTAAGCATGTGGTTCTTACTAGCTCACTCCCCTCCATATGCTTGCTGATATGCTCAGAGAATTCTAAAAGTAATTTATTTGTTTTTCTAGTCAAGATATTGCATCATCTCTGACCAATTCAAATGAGGGTGAGGAATCTCCTATTTTTCAGCAATGGCCTGGCAATGCAATTAGATCAGTTTTCTAAAGTTGTGTTTGGCATACGTGTGGGCAATAACCTTCTTCTGCCCTTTGATGTGCCAGCAGATCATGAGTCTCTAAATTCCCTGTGGTCTGGATACAATTCCTATAGCTGGCAGGCCAAGCTACTAACCAATTGCTGCAAGCTTTGTGGCTTTTTTTTTGAGTTAACCTGAAAAAGGAATGCTTCATACCCAGTGCAATTAACAGCTGTCAAGTGAACTAGGAAAGAGAGACCAAAGTAAGCTTTAACCTAAGGGAAAACACATCTGCTCTTGTTTCCCCTTGGTGCTCTCTGGCTAAGATTGTTCAGAGAAGGAGGAACAGCCTTAAATTAAGCAAAAGAGTGACTGTACATCATGACTGCAGATGAAGAACAAAGTTACATGGTGTGGGAGTATATTGATGACTGAATGGGGAGCACAGTGCCAGTAAAAATGATGATGATAAATGTTAAGTACTTCAAATCCATTACCTACTGCAGTGCTAAGAACTTTTCAAGCTTTGCATTGTTTGCAGGACAGATTATTCAACTCCAGTCCTAGCTTATAGCAGCCATATAAGATAGGTTACTATCTTACAGATAGAGGGACTAAAGTTGGATGAAAGTGGCTTGCCTATTGATACTGGGTTTTATTTTGCAGCGGGCTTTTTATCCAGCTGGTAGGGTGTGCATTTGAAGGTAGAGATACACAAAATTCAAGTAGCATTAGCTGGATTCTCAGCCTTTTGTGTGGTGCAGTGATGACCAAGGGGAAGTGAGCATCAACTGGCTGCTGAAGGCTGAAGTTCCACCTCTGCCACATTTTACAATAACTTGGCTCCCATCTACCTTCTGATACAGGGGTGGACATCCCATGGCCCGTGGGCTGCATGTGGCCCCCAGGTTCTAGTAGTAGAGATACCCATCGTTGAAAAGGAGGAAACATTGCAACTATGGAAAAGCAGATCCAGATTTGCATAAAATGTGCATATGCTAATGTACACATACTGATCCAAAATTAAAAATATCTTATTGACTTTGAACAAAAATATTGGGGGCTTGATTTTGTAATATGCTTAGCTGAGTCATTTGGGAGCTTTATTACAAAAGGTTCTGGTTAGTAACCTCCAAGGGGTTGACCGATTCAATCATTCACAGGTTCTAAATAAGTCTACCATGTTACTTATGTTGTGAGAACACATCAACTAAGAGCATGCTACCTAGGCCTGGCAACATAAAACCCACACTTCACAAACCCTGAATGGCTGCAATGGCCACAATAAGCCAACTACTGTATGCTTAGGTAAAAGGGAAGACGGTGGGGATGTAAGACAGCTTTGCTAGTAACTTTCTGGTGCCAAGATTCATGAAGTACTAAGCATATCTTATAGGAAATGAGTGGGGATTTTTTCACCCAATATTTACTTTTGACCCAATAAGTGTGATTATGTGCTGCCAGAACTACCATTAAGAAGGTTTGACTGGATTAGTGGCCAGATGAGTTATGCATATTGAGAAGCAGGGCTAATCTATTTTTAATAGTGAGGAAGACTCAGTAATTTATACGACTATTCTATTTACAGTTCATGTGTTTATCATTCTGGGATAAAAAGCTCCAGGGATTCTCCCTGTCTTATAGTTTATGTTACACTTAAATCAGATCCTTTGAGCAGAGGACCCGCTTGTATAAATTAGAACAGATTGCCATTCTCTTACACAACCTGTGATATATTTGTGAATGAAGTTATTATGTAGACATGACCAATCACACAGTCATTGTGAAACCAAAGGGCTGGGCCTGATATTTACTCAGGTGCTTCAGGTATATGAGATAGCCCCATAGTGAAGTCACCTATATGGATATGGCAATGGTAAAGCTACCATATTTAAGCTGCAAATATCAGATGACCACTTGATGACAACAAAGAGAGTTTTCTGCACCTCCTACTATGTTGATTTATTTATGAGATTTATCTACTGCCTCAATCCAAACAGACTTTACACAGTGTACAGATACTACCAATAAAAATATGCAACCATAATAACACAACTAACACTGGCACAAAAGATTCCATGACCAATCTCCAAAAGTCATCCAGAAAAGGCAGGTTTTTACCAGCTTTTGGAGAACCATGGGGGGTGTCATTCTTACCTTTATGTACAGGTAGTTCTACAGAACAAAGCCCCTCCCCCTGAATGCCCACCAGGCCCACTCTCTTCACACCTCATAGGTAGTGAGGAACCCTAGCAGGGCTCTTTGACAAACTGAGTTGCATGGGGAGACTTTGAGAAAGACAATCTCTTAGATACCCAGATAGGATTTTAAAGGTAGTGACCAGTACTGATTTTTAGAATGCCACAATCTTATGACTCTCAGTGGTTTGTAGGAAGGAGAACAATTATATGATCTATAATAATAAATATATAGTCATAAAATAACATTATTACTAATTTTAAACTGCACCATTATAACAGCTCCTATGGTGTTATCCTAAGTTGTTAAAAACAACAACAAAAACATCTGAAAGGGCTTTGTTTAAAATAGCATCCAGAAAGTCATCCAAAATGATAATGTGGTCAAGAGCTCTGAAGGCCACCAAGAAATCTAGGTGGACACAGATGGCTGCACTTCCTCCAATCAAGTCCTGTTACAAGTCTTTCATGAGAAGTACTAATACAGTTGCCATCCTATGTTTGAGTGTGAATCCAGACACCCTCATTTGCAGGTAATCCATACCCACCAGAACCCCTCTGGAATTGCAGCCCCACCACTTTCCCAATGACCTTCCCCAGAAAGGTGGGCTGAAGATAGGATGGTAGTTATCCATTACTGCTGGATCTATGACTGGCTTCTTGAGGAATAGGCAAACCAGCACTTCTTTTAAAGCTGCAGCAATCTCTCTTTCCCTCAAAAGAAGCTCTGATTATTGCCTGGATCCAACTCCCAGTCCCTTCTATGGCCTGTTTAAGCAGCTAGGTGGAGCAAGGGTTCAGCCCATAAATGGTTGACCTAAGATCACAGAGAATTTTGTCCATGTCCTCAAGATCTACAGACTCAAAAGCTTTCCAGATAACATCAGAGGATGTTACCTCTTTCAGCTCAGCAGATTTCATCCATCTGGCTTCTAACTCAAAGCGAATATGAGTGGTTTTATCCACAAAATGTTTGGCCAGACAATCACAGTTTATACTAATTTGTTTTTCTGGCCTGTGCTTCCTCAGTAGATTGGGACAATCTAAATATAGTAGCCAGCTGACTGACATTCTGCAGATGCAATAAAGGCAGAGAAGTAATTCCACCTTGCCACCCTTGTTGCCACAGAATAGGCTTGGATTTGAATTTGTACTCAGGTCAGCCATATTCTCTTCTCAAATTCTGCCAGCATTGCATCAGGCATCTCTTCATTCCCCAGAGGTCTTCAGAAAAGCAAGGAGCAATCCAGGATGAATGAGTTAGTAGAGGTTTGTGGGCAGACCTATTCAGGACCCTGACTGGCCTGCTTGCCCCTATTTTCCAGAAACTAACAACGTGACAACAAAGCTGCCCTCTAGATCACTGTAAAAATCCTCAAGTGCTGTCTGGAAAATCTCCATCAAGTGCCTGGGACAAGACATATTGATTCCTCCTCCTGCAGAAACTGGTGGTTCCAATTAACCCTATTATCACAAAGAATTGGTCTGTCCACTCCAAAGGATTGATGGAAAATTTCCCCAGGATCAGATCATGTCCCATCTGCTTGGAGGTAAAGGCTAGATGTGAGTCAGGCCATAACCTGAGGAAAACCAATGGTTGTCATGGTGGCCATGAATTCCTGAGCTGCCTCTGAAAATAGAGAAGGTAGGTTGAAATCACCCAGAACCATAATTTGGGCTACTCCATAACCACCACAGCAATGAGCTCTAGTAGCTTGGGATGAGATGCTGCTATACAGTTGGAAGGATGGTGCAATGGCAGTGCTTCTGGTGGTCTTTCTGTCGCAAGTTCACAAAGATGGCTTTATATCTGGCCACTTGTGAAACAGTACTCCTGGCAACAGCCAGGGTCTCCTGGTACACAATTGCCACTCTACCTCCTCTGTCTTAGAGTTGAGATGGAAGCAGTACACAAAACATTAGTAACTAAGAAGGATATATCTCAGTGATGAAGACTCACACCTCTTCATCCAGCCAGGTCTTGATAATATGCACCAAGGCTGTCCTCTTATTCATGATTAAATAATGGACACAGTTAGATATGTAGAGTCCTTGGTGCTCTCTGAGCTTGGTTGTTTGCTTGCAGACATTTCATTACCCAACTAGGTAACATCATCAGTGCTGGCAAGTATGGGGTTTGCTCCCTGTTTATATACAGTAGCTTGCCCTGCCAGTGTTGGTGGGAGTATGGTTTTCTCCTTGGTAGTTCCTTGATTAGGGTATTGTTTCTGCTTGATTGTTTGTCTGGTGCTGTTTATCTGGGTGTTGGCTGCTGGAAAGGATGTGTTCTGTTCTTTTTGTTTCCTTCTTAGCTTTTTTATTGTCTCTTTTGGATGGTGTGTAAATATGGTTTATCTCTATGTGTCTATTGATGGCTGATTTGTCTGAATGCCAAGCTTCCAGGAATTCCCTAGCATTTTTTTATTTAACTTGGTCTAGGATGCTCACAGTTTCCCAGTTGAAACTATGGTTGAGTCTGTCCATGTGTTGTGAGTCTCTATGTGTCTATTGATGGCTGATTTGTCTGAATGCCAAGCTTCCAGGAATTCCCTAGCATTTTTTTATTTAACTTGGTCTAGGATGCTCACAGTTTCCCAGTTGAAACTATGGTTGAGTCTGTCCATGTGTTGTGAGTCTCTATGTGTCTATTGATGGCTGATTTGTCTGAATGCCAAGCTTCCAGGAATTCCCTAGCATTTTTTTATTTAACTTGGTCTAGGATGCTCACAGTTTCCCAGTTGAAACTATGGTTGAGTCTGTCCATGTGTTGTGAGATTAAGGCATTTTCATTATGTCTTCTGACTGCTAGTTGGTGTTCATGGATGTGTTCTGCTAATCTTAGGCAGAAGACTACATATTTTCTCTTCTGTTGGAACAGTTAGATATATTGCAGACAGACTTGGCATTCAGGATTATTAATCTGATCCAAGTGCACCCAGTAATTTAGATGGTGTTATCTGGATTTTGCAATCCAGATATGGTAGCCCAAATCATCTTTTTTTCACCCTAAAATAGAAGATTTCCACAAACAGTTTCTTCCTATTTCTGTCTTCTTAGTTCTAATCCCTGGGAGATGAAGAGTGAGCTGATATGGACTATACCTTTAATTTCTTCCTTCTTTTGTTTCCAGCCTTGTCCACTGAGGTACACACATGGGGGTGGGCAGAAAAATCTGATAAGAAAACAAAAGATTTAATTTGTCTGTGGAATAATCAGTTAAACTAGGAAAGTTTCTTCTATTTTTAATTTTTCTGGAGAAATATGTTGCAAAATATTTATTATTTTATAAAAGACAAGAAGATGATTTGTAGGAGAGCCACATGCAAGAAATTATACCATAGTTTAGCATGATGTATGAATTTAACATATTTTTTTTATTTTTTATTTATGCATAGACTTATCCCCACCCATCACCCCACAATGGGGGACTT